ATAAAAGAGAGTGATGTGGTTACTTCCACTACTTCCACTTCTACTGTTACTTCCAGTCCATATAGTCCATATATACTAACTAAGCTTCAAAAACAGCAACTTTTTGAATTCACAGCTGACGTCATGGAAGACAACCCACTGACATATACCTGCCTATTCAGCCTACAGCAGTTTAGCCCCGCCCATTCACACTGAAGTTACAAGGAGTGTTTCAGCCCAGGCAGCCATTTGAATAAGGCTGAATACAGGACAGCCAAACAGAGCAAAGCTCATTTACATATATTAGTCTTAAAGACACAGTAACAAAATTGTAAGGAATGGAAAACGGTCGTGTAAAAACGAATCACTGAAGCAATAAACCACGAGAGAGACGCATGATAAAATCGCAATAACACATGGTCTCAAGTGGCTTATTGCTTTTATAAAAAGGCAGGCAACATAAACTATGATACAACACACACTTTTCAAAAAAAATAAGTTATTATTAATAATAATCGACAAACACAAGCATTCCACCAAGAAATGTAGTTCCTTTAGCGTATGGTGTCGTTGCCAAACAACCATGGACGGTTGAAAGAGGAGAAAAACGTTCGCTGTATATCGTGGTCATTTCATGAACTTCTTAACTTTTTGTCGCATAACAATGAACATATGATAATGCAGCACTGTTTAATGCAAAAACACTCACTTTATAAGTACTTTTTGGTCACTAAATCACCACCGCGAGTCTTATTTAGCACCAATCCAGCGGCGCCCCTCTTCTTACACTGGGGCTGAATCTCAAACAGCTCCCTGCTCCCTACATAGTGCACTACATAGGAGTTTAAATACTGGATCCTGCAGCCCAACAGAGCAAAATACAGCTAAGAAACAGTCATTTGGGACTCAGACAAATCCACACTCAATACATGATGCACTGTTTGGCTGTGGAGCCTAGAATTTCTAAACTTTCATAGCTAGAACACTGTTTAGGGAGTACGGAGCCATTTGGGATTCAGCCTGGGTTTGACGCGACTTCTGAAATTTGAAGCATGTAAGACATTCAAGTGACATTTTTTAGAGTGTTGTATTTCCCTTTTATAGTTAATCATACTGTAAGTACTTTAATTCAAGCCTGTGATATTAATGATGGAGCTGTTTAGGCTGTTTGCTATCGTTTAGCCTGTTAGTTAGCTGACCAGCCCGGTTCTAGTTAAGAACGTAAGTCACCAAGGTTTTCGTTGCTGTGAGTCACAGATGTGCATATATCATGGATCCTGGCTCCACCAGTCATATTTTAGGCCTGGAACTATCCGTTTTATAAGACCAGTTTCACTGGTTCAACTACTTATTTTGACATACAGTATTTTTGGACATTTCAGTATTAAAGGAAATAATTTGTTTTTGTGAGTCTATATTTCATAATGGTCAATAATATATAGGGTTTATTTACATGCATTCAACCTTTAAAAAAAAACATAAAATTTTACAGTACTTTGACAGCGAAAATACATTTTTTGCAGTTTCCATAAAGCCAAACATTGTAAGTAGACCACAAGGAAACAGATAAATTACAAGAAGAATGCAGGCTGTTTAATGCTTGTTGGTCAGAAGTGTTTGCGGACGATGTCCACTAGAGGGTAGAGTAACATTAGACTCTAGTTTCAGATTCCAAACACTGATTGTGTTCTTTCAACCTGATTTCACAATCTTTAATCTTCACTCTAGTCATTCTGGTGTATTTCTCCAGTAACATGTTGTAAACTTATGGTTTAAGTGGAAATGTGCGTGGGCGCGGGGTGGTTGTGGGGTATGTGCACACAATCTGATAGCATAATTTTACATTCCACGAACTCTGCCCCCTTTGAGTTTATAGAATTAAAATGAAAGTAAACTTTGGCTGTGTCCCACTCAGGAACTTTTCGAATGAGAAGAGAAAACTGGAAGAGAAACAAAGAAGTGTCTACTCTACACTCTTTCAGTGTGTATGCATCCATGCGGGTTTGGAGAAGCGATACGCTGGACTCCTCCCAAACATAGTATCACTGAGGGAACATCCTGAGCAGACAGGTGCCCACACAGCTAATCTTAGACCTTTTCATGAGACTGTGCTGCAATTTCAATGCTGTTTTTATGTGAAGTGAATCTGTGTCTCATTGAATGGTCACCCTACTTAACCTTAAAGAGCTTATTGTCATGGACACCAAATTTTCCTCCTTTTATTGAGAACAAAGTTTCATGTAACACGTAAACACTGTTAAAAGTTTCTATCTCTTCATTCCCTACTTCATCCGGTCCATATAAGGACATTAATCTGCAAAAACGGCCCGATTTGACTCATTTACACATATCCACCTCTTCAGTCTACAGCAGTTTCGCCCATTCAAGATAAAATTATTAGAAGTGTTTCAGCTCAAGTTGCTGTTTGAATGAAAACAGATCTCATTTACATATATCAGTCTTAAAGGCACAGTAACAAAAAACAGCCTTTTTAGTTCTGAGCGATACAGAAAAGTTGGAATATAGTCATGTAAAAACGAGTTATGATTGTTTTCGGTTCCTAGAGTGCTTTGAAAAAGTATTCAACCCCCTTAAAAAGTCATCAGATTAGACTGGATTACAGATGACACTTTCATATTTTGTGCTGTCATGTTTTATTTTAAAAGACTCGTCCTCAAAATTAATGTAATATTGGCTTCATGTAAGGAAATATTCTGTGACAAAAATGACTAGCTGAAAAATGCTGTTTGCATAAGTATTCAACCCCTGTGCTGTGAAAGCTCTACATTTACACAGATGAAAGATAATGCCCTGATGAGGATGCAGTTGGCTTACAGTTACAGGCCTTGAATCATTAAAAAACATTCCTGAATAAAAGACCCTCTAAATTCAAGTGTCGCTATTCAGACTGTGAATCTGAAGGAAAAATGTGAAAAATAAAGATCAAATAGCAAATTTGAAAATTTGAGATAAAGTTATAGGCATGCACAAGATAGGAAAAAGCAACAAAATAATATTCAAGTGTTTGGATATGGCAGTGAGTATATCTGGAGTGGAGATATCCCAAGTCAAAACATGTCTGGAGTTTGCCAGAAAGCCTCAGAGTGACCCAGCTAAACTGTGGAAAAAGACTGAAACAACAGTTGAGCTTTTTGGCCAAAATTCAAAATGCCATAAAGCTAACACGGCCCATTGTTTAACAAACACCATCCCGACAGTGAAGTATGGGGGTGGTAGCATCATGTTGTGGGGACGCTTTTCCTCAGTGGGGACTGGGGATCTTGTTAGTATTGAAGAACAGATGGATAGTGGAAAATAAAAGGAGATACTTCAAGACAACCTGCTTCAGTCTGCTAAAGTTTGACCAGATCAGCCCAGTTTTATCAAACCTGCATGGGTTGCCAGTTAAATTCTGCATCCATTACAAAATTCTTTTACTGACCTATAAACCTCTAAACGGACTCGTCTCTCAGTCCCTGAGTGAACTTCTCTCTCACTATGAACCATCACGCCTACTTAGATCACAAGGTGCTGCTCACTATTAGTACCTAGAATTAATAAAGTTACGTCAGAGGGTGGAGCTTCTCATACAAAGCCCCCCAGTTTTGGAATAATCTTCCAGTCAGTGTTCGGGACTCAGACACAGCCTCAGTCTTGAAGTCTAGGCTAAAAACGTACTTGTTTAGTGGAGCCTTTGGTAATTAGTTTTTCCTGTTAGATAAAAGGTGCAGATCTGGGGTTCATGGTCACAGAGTATTATGGTAAACTGGGAGTGTTGGTGCTGTCGTCCCACTGCTCACGCGTTCACTCAGGTTTGCTGATAGTGGAGTGGAGGGGCGCCGACATCTCAGGGAGCCTCGTGTCTCTGTGACCTTTCTGGTTTGTCCCTTTTAGTGAGGCTGTAATAACTAGACCTGCTGGAGTCTCTGCTGCTCTGTTAACCCTGTAATCTGTGATCAGTCACTCATTACAGAACTGACTCTCTGTGTGTTTCCTTTACTTTGCCGAGTTGAACAGCTGCCCATCCTGTAGGTCTGATGCTGTTGCTTCTTCTGCCTTGATCAGGTGCCACTGCTCACCAACCTTCTGGACCGTTTCAGCCTCATTTTTGACCACCATTGAGCTTCACGCTGTCAATGCTGTACAAACCTCACCCTCATGAACTGACCCTCCTGCTGCTGCTGCATAAACTCAAACTATCTAATTAACCATTACTCCACCTGTTTTTCCCGTTTTGTATTCTAATATTTTATATTAATGCTGTTTGCTATCTGGTGTCGACCAGAGGAGGATGGGTTCCCCTTTTGAGTCTTGGTTCCTCTCAGTGTTTCTTCCTCTTGCTCTTAGGAAGTTTTTCCTTGCCACTGTCGCCATTGGCGACGCTCATTGGGGCTCAGACCCGGGTTTTTCTGTAAAGCTGCTTTGTGACGACACCTGTTGTAAAAGGTGCTACATAAATAAACTTTGACCTGACTTGACTTGACTAAACACTAAAGACTGGGAGAAATTTCAGCTTTCAGCAGGATAGCAATCCCAAGGCCAAAGCAACCCAGGAGAAGATAAACGATAAAAAGGTGGACATTCTACGGTGGTCAAGTCAAAGTCCAGTTTGCAGTCCACAAGCATCATCCAACCAACCTGGAGCAAATCTGCCAAGAAGAATGGGTGATAATCTCTTTCAAACAGTGTGCAAAGCTGGAAGAAACTTACCCCAGCAGACCTGTTATCATTCTAGTTTTTAGTGTGAAGAACCCCCTACTACTTTACTAGCTCACAGTACTAGTCTGAAGAGGATGAATACTTATGCGAGCAGCATTTTTCTTTTTTTTTTAAGATCTGCTGACAAATAATGAATTTTGGCTTTAAGAGAATACTGCTTTGCTATAAGAATACTGGCTGGAACAATCTGCACAAATGTCATTTGTAATCCAGACAAATCCAATGACTTTTGCCAGGCACTATAACCCCACACAAATGACATCAGTGGATCTGAGAGAAACAAAACAAGATGCAAGAAAATATAGGATATGAGCCCTTTAATCAACATCCACTTTATTCAAAAATACAAATATATAGTTCATGTAATCTGCATAGAACAAGTTTGCATGAGCACAGACGTGTTGCTCATGACAAACATGGAGAAACGACTAAAACATTCATTCACTGGTTCATTTCTTAACTCATTTCAACAATTCATTTAAAAAGCAACTGTAACATAAACAGCCAAACACACGGTGAACGCGGCTCATGATGTCCCGAAACACTGAAAGGATATTTTGGTCGAGTTGCTTGGTCTAAAGCAGAAGTGTTTTTTTCTTGTGGCATTCGTCCAAAGCATCTAAACTGCAGCGGTGCACCAGACAGACTGGTTAGTGGTTAGGTGGTCTGTCAGAGCTCAGTCATAATAAAGAATTAATTTCACGTGAGCTGGAATACTATCTGACACAATGTGTTTCCTGTTGTGTCAAAGCGAAACCGAAATATCACACGTCATTCAGCCAAAAGTAAAGAAAAAATATTTGACACTCATTTTTGACACTCGTACTCTAAAAATGAAAACATCTAGATGATCCAGATAGAATCCAAACGGCATTTTTAAGCAGCAAAACATTTAAGAAGGCAAAACTGGCCATTAGTACATAAACATGTGCATTTAACAGTACAGAACACGGGTTACGAACACACTGAAGACGGTAAATGACGACTATTATCTTGTCTGACAGTAAATTCAAGGAGAGATTACATCAATGGTCCTCGGTGCCGAGATCACGCCGCTGTTTAGAATGGGGCACAGAGGCTCATGGGACTGGAGGGCCTCCGCCAGACGTTTCTGTTCCTCAAGCAGCAGCTGAACCTCCTTCTTCAGCAAGCTGTTCTGCTGCTCCAAGCACTCATACGCCTGAGAGGGAACACGTGCATTCAGATCAGTTCAAACAAAATACATTCTGCTGGCATTACAGTACTGTGCACAAGTCAGAGGCCTCGTTTATTTATTATCTAAAAAATGTAATTAGCAGAATATTAGACAGAAGCCTCAACAACTAATTAGAATTCACCACTCTTAGCCTTTATTACAGCTTCCGGTCCTTTCTGGAGACTTTCTTTCAGTTTTGCTAAGAAGCTGGGGATATTTTTCACATCTTCAAAGTTCAGTCTTAGAAGTTGGTTGCATTTTCTGCTTCTCGTCACCCAAAAATCCCAAACACATTCAGCGATGTTGAGGTCTGGACTCTGGAGTGGTCACCAGTAGCTTCTCTGTTTGACCCTCACAGAGCAGGTACTATTTGGGTGGTGGATCATTCTCAGCACTGCAGTAACAATGACGTGGTGGTGGTGTGTTAGTGTGTGTTGCGCTGGTACAAGTGGATCAGACACAGCAGTGCTGCTGGAGTTTTTAAACACCTCAGTGTCACTGCTGGACTGAGAATAGTCCACCAACCAAAAATATCCAGCCAACAGTGTCCTGTGACCACTGATGAAGGACTAGAGGATGACCAACACAAACTGTGCAGCAGCAGATGAGCTATCGTCTCTGACTTTACATCTACAAGGTGGACCGACAAGGTAGGAGTGTCTAATAGAGTGGACAGTGAGTGGACACAGTGTTTAAAAACTCCAGCAGCACTGCTGTGTCTGATCCACTCAGACCAGCACAACACACTCTAACACACCACCACCACGTCAGTATTACTGCAGTGCTGAGAACGATCCACCACCCAAATAGTACCTGCTCTGTGAGGGTCCATGGGGGTCCTGACCACTGAAGAACAGGGTAAAAGGGGGCTAACAAAGTATCAGAGAAACAGATGGACTACAGTCTGTAACTGTAGAACTACAAAGTGCACCTATATAGTAAGTGGAGCTGATAAAATGGACAATGAGCGTAGAAACAAGGAGGTGGTCATAATGTTATGCCTGATCTGTGTATATCCACTGTTTTAAAGCTCAAAATCAAAGGTACACATTTTCACACATTTACTCCAAACATAACGGGCGTGACAGGCTGAATTCTTTATTATATTTTATACTAGAGCTATGAGGCTAATATATATTTAATATATATTTGGCTTTGTTTGTATGTTGATATTAGCTCTCAACAGTCTGACCTGTGCCACCCTTCCGCCCCTAGTGCCCTTTTTTTGAAAGCCAAACTATGGTCAGTCTGATTTGTGATTACTTAAAGGGTAATTCCACCAATTCTTTCAAAATTTCTGCATAATTAAATAGTGAAGATGTAAACAAAGTCATTCAGAGTGGTTTGATGTGAAATGCTCTGTTCCAGAGAAGCTTACAGAACTGTTCAGTGGTGGTGATAGGAACCAGACGTCCAAAGCATTTAATGCTTCTAAAAGCTCCCTCACAGAAACCTATTTGACGTCTATGATAGCTCTGTGATAAAGTTTGGCCTAAAACACATTTTTTTTAAACTCTTTTCATGGCATAAAGAAAACTTATTATTATTATTTTTTTCATTAACAAAATACATATAGAAACAGAAGACATGTGAGGGTCCACTGGTGGTTTTGGGCAGTAAATAAAATGGCTACTTTTGTGTTGTAGACATTGGAACTCCACCACTGTGAAGAAGTCTAAGTCGGTATGTTTCTCCGCAGTGAACCATTTCACATCAAGCCACAGTGAATGACTTTGTTTACATCTGAATGACTGAATTATGAAGAAATGTTGGAAAAACTGTGGAATTCCCTTTCAACAATGTGATGATGTAGGCATGCAGTTTGCACAATGATGATATGCTAATAAAAGCTGTATAAGCTTCCATTGCTTGTTAGACTAAAGACAGCAAACGTGTCTTGATTATAATTTGGTCTAAAGGGAAAAAGGATAACTCATATTTTTTTTGCACCCTGAAATTTCTGTTCTTGTTTATAAGCTTCCAGCTGTGTGTAAATTTTGAACACCCCTGTTTAAATCACACTTTTTTTTTTTTGACGAAGTGAAAGGTTAGACATCCTCTACATGAAACAAACACATTTAACACATTTCTAACACACTGGAAAAATAAAACACAAAAATGAGCCATAACTTTTGCACAGGCCACATTTTATACTTAATTTTTTTTTTCCCATTATATTAAATTCAGCAAATAAACAGTAATTGTGCATTAAATGTGCAGAAATATGTTTTCTGTAGTGCAGGAGCATCAAAACCAACCACTAAAAGGGCCATATTAAAAAATATAAGCAAATCTGTGGCCCAGCTGTGTTTTTATTTCATTTTAACTTAACATTTTGCCTCGACCTGAACGGGCCAACATTTATTCAAAATATGCCAAAACTTCAACAGCAAAATAGGCACTAAATACTTATTAAAAATAATTCTAAATGAAAATAAATTGTTTTAGGTATTTTTTTAAAACTGACTATTTGCTTGAACTCCACACCAGGCATCTTTTCTTTTTGTGTAACTGATGGCCCAGAGATTGTTGTTGGCGGGGTCAGAATGCACACTATGTTGCAGTGCATGCTGGGGCCTGTAGTGCATCTCAGGGTGAAACAGGCTAATAATAATAATACAGAATTAAAATAATTTCTGAATAGGCCAAATAGGACTGTGTCACAGGCCTGACTTGGCCCACGGTGTCTTAAAGTGAAGGTAAATCTAAATCTAAATCTGAAATCTATCTGAAATAACTCACTTTCCTTTCATACGTCGGGTATTTTTGTGTGAAACAGGGTATCAGGGAGGGTCCCTGAGCTGGCTGAGCATTAACGCCTGATGATAGGTGGGGATGTGGGAGGGGGAGATGACATGTGATACTATTGGTTAATATTATCAAAACACAGAAGACGTTCTCCAAAAGTCAAAGATTAAAGAGGAATTTCCAGCAATTTTTCAACATTTCAGCATAATTAAATTGTTGAAATGCAGAGCTGTTCACAGTGGTGGTGATAGGAACCAGACGTCTGTGGAGTTTAACGCCTCTGAAAGCTCCATCACAGACAGCTATTACATGAAATAGTTATGAATACACTGCATTACGATAGGTTTTAATAAGGTTTTGGTGAGTTTGGAGAGTTACATGCAGGGTTTTATTCAGATTTACCGCTGTTTTACATTTATCAACATTACATATAAAAAATTCACTGTAAAGAAATCTGAGTCTGTAAGTTTCTCTAGAATTATACATTGTACATCAACTCTGAATCACTTTGTTTACATCTTTAAAATTTAATTATGGAGAAATTTCAAAAATTGGTGGTAAGCACCTTTTAAAGATTATGGGAAAACAAGAATTTTGTCTTTTAAATGAATGAATCCTGTTTAATATGACCGGGAACATGAACTAACAAGGTCTGTTTGATTTCAGGATGATTTTAAACCAAAAATTCTTTTGTTTAAACAGTAAAAAGTGGAAAGTAATGTATAGAAATCACTGACCACAACATTAAAAACTGTGTAAATAAATAATCATAAGCTAACATGATTGGGGGGATTCCATTCTTCATCAAGTGCTACTCTAAGATAGAAATAATAAAGCAGGTGTTGGAGAACGCTGCTGAAGAATGTTCTACGCTATACTGTTCTATGTTTTTTCTGTCTTTCTTATTTTTGAGGAACATCATTGGACTACTTACTTGAACATCACAGTCACTTCTCTTAACACCACAGCGTTTATTAATTCAATTCAACTAATTAAACTCTTCTAGTCTTAATTGTGCAGTAATTTAAATTAAATGTAATTAATTTTCATATCTTCTAAGCAAACTGCGTAAAGGTTCTTGCCTTTCCATGGTGATATAAGAAAAGCTTCCTCCACACAAATTCTAATCATCATACAGTCTTAATCATCATAAGACCTACAGTCATGAGCCAAAGCTTGTGCAACCCAGTCAAATGATGTTTTGTTGATTTTCTAATTGAAAATTAGTGAACATATTTTATACAGAGAACACATTTCGGCACATTTTAATGCACAATTACTGTTAATTTGCTGAACCTAACATATTTGAGTAAAAAACATTAAATGTTAAATGTTGGCTGTGAACATTTTATATTTTATTTTAACAGTGTGTTCCCTGTAGAGGATGTGTTAACTTATTTTCACTTACAACCCCATTTCCAAAAAAGTTGGGAAGCTATCCAAAATGTAAATAAAAATATAATGCAAAGATATATGCAAATCATTTAAACAATATTTTAAACCATATTGAAAATAGTACAAAGACAACATATCAAACGCTAAAACTGAGAATTTTTTTTTGTTTTTTGAAAAATATTTGCCCATTTTGAACTTGATGCCATCAACACATTCCAAAAAAGTTGGGACGGAGGCCTGTTTACCACTGTGTTTCATCACCTCTTCTTTTAACAACACTCTGTAAGCGTTTGGGAACTGAGGAGGAACTGCTGTAGTTTAGAAAGTGAAATGTTTCCTTGTTTTTGCTTAACATAGGATTTCAGCTGCTCCACAGTTCGGGGTTTCCTTTGTCGTATCTTTCATTTCATAATGTACCAAATGTTTTCAGTGGTGACAGGTCTGGACTGCAGGCAGGTCAGTTTAGCACCCGGACTCTTTTAATATGGAGCAATGCTGCTGTAATACACGCAGAATGTGGTTTGACATTGTCTTGCTGAAATAATCAAGGCCTTCCCTGAAAAAGACGTTGTCTGGATGGCAGCATATGTTGCCAAAACATGTATATATCGTTCAGCATTAATGGTGCCTTCACAGATGTGCAGGTCACCCATGCCATGTGCACTAATGCCCCCTATACCATCACAAATACTGGCTTTTGAACTGTGCACTGATAACAAGCTGAGTGGTCTTTGGCCCGGAGGACACAGTGTCCATGATTTCCAAAAAAGAATTTCAAATGTTCATTCATCGGACCACAGGACACCATTTTAAATGAGCTCGGGGCCAGAGAAGGTGGCAGCGTTTCTGGATCCTGTTTATATATGATTTCTTCTTTGCATTTAAGAGTTTTAATTAGCATTTGTGGATGCAGTGATGAACTCTTTTCACAGACAGTGGTTTTCAGAAGTGTTTCTGAGCCCATGCAGTGATTTCCACTACAGAATTATGTCTGTTTTTAATGCAGTGCTGCCTGAGGGCCCAAAGATCACGGCCAGCAAATACTGGTTTTTGTCCTTGTCCCTTACATACAGAGATTTCTCCAGATTCTCTGAATCTTTTAATGTTATTATGTACCGTAGATGATGAAAAGCAAAAGTTCTTTGCTATTTTATGTTGAGAAACGTTGTTCTTGAATTGTTGCACTATTTGATGGTGCAGTCTTTCACAGAGTGGTGAACCCCTCCTCATCTTTACTTCTGAAAGACTCCGCCTCTCTGAGATGCTCTTTTTATACCCAATCATGTTACTGACCTGTTGTCAATCAACCACCAGGTGTTTTTTTTTAGCATTACACAACTTCACTAGCCTTTTGTTGCCCCCGTCCCAACTTTTTAGGAACGTGTTGTCGGCATCAAATTCAAAATGGCAAATATTTTTCACAAGGACAGTAAAAATTCTCAGTTTTAACATTTGACATGTTGTCTTTGTACTATTTTCAATGAAATATAGGATTTAAATGATTTGCACATCATTAAATTTTGTTTTATTTACATTGGAAAATGGGGTTGTAGAAAATCAACAAAATATCAATTTGCTTAGTGGTGTTCAAACCTTTTCCACACAGCTGAATGAGGACTGACCACAGGGCAGCATATAAGAGGTAGCGGATGTCTCAGTTGTGTGGTGTTGACAGGATACGACAAGCTTAAACGTGTGATGTGTGAACACACCTCGTGCAGCTCATCGGCTCTCTGGGTCTGTCTTTTGCGGCTCCTTTGTGCGGCCACTCGGTTTTTCTCTCTTCTCTTCAGCCTCCTCTCATCATCGTCAGAACTCTGTCATCATTAGTTAAGAAAAATATTATAGGACTGCATATCATCACTGAGAGGGTAAAGATGTCTTTACTTTTAATGTAACCAATTTTGTAATATTTCTCTTGATCCAATCAGCATGAAATACACTATGTAAAGGGCATCTGCAGTGTTCAAATGAGGTACACTCTTAAAAATGATGGTTCTTTAAGGGTTCTTTAGTAAAGAAAATGCTTCTATCAGCATAGGTACATACTATAGTATCATGAACACTCAAAAACACTTTGCATGATTAAAGGGTTCTTTGCATCTTGGAAGGGTTCTTCAGGTTATTGGAGAATGTGCTGTACATGGTTCTGTATAGAACGTTTTTGAAAAGGGTTCTATGTAGCACCAAAAAGGATTCTTCTACTGTTACAATGTCAAGCTTGTGATAGCAGAAGAATCCTTTTGGTGCTATAAAGAACCATCAACAGCACATTCTCCGTTCATCAGAATAACCCCTTCACTACGCAAAGAACCCGTTAATCGTGCAAATGGTTCTTTGGGTGCTTATGGTTCTATATGGAACCATTGTCCTTACTGAAGAACTCTTAAAGAACCATCCTTTTTAGAGTGTACTAAAAGACGGTGTGGAATAGAACGTGTGCTTGCTGTATTGCTTATAACATCACATGCTCTAAGCCCATCTATGCTTTAGATGTTCATGCCATATTTTTCTGTCCTAAATGTTTATTTTTCTTTTCAAACAGTTGAGAAATGTGATTAATTGCAATCACTGCATGTCCAGAAGTATCTAGACCCCTTCTAATGTGTGAATTCAGCTACTTTAAAGTTCCCTTATTGTTGATACAGGTGTTCAACTTGAATAATCTCAATAGAAAAGTGTGGCCAATAGGAGGAGATGCTGTGGAGCAGCTGCACATGTTCAGTGTCAAGTGTTGGAGGGGTATAAAGACCCCCCAGCCTTGGGCTGTGGAGCAGAGGAACCATGTTCCCTGGAGTGACGGAGCTCCAGCCAGTACCTTTGGGATGAGTTGGAGTGATCCAGAAATGACCGTCCAACATCAGTACCTGACCTCACTAATGCTCCTGTGGCTGAATGCAATCAAATCCTCACAGTTGCAACATCTACAGACATTAAAAAGATAGTTTTCAAGGGTTCTTTATAAAAGAAAACGGTTCTACTTAGAACCATGAACACTTAAAGAACCCACTGCATGATCAAAGTGTTCTTCAGATTGAGGCAGAATATGTTATAGATGGTTTTATATAGAAATCTTTTGAAAAAGGTTCTAACATAGCACCAAAAAGGGTTCTACTATTGTTCCACGCTTGACATGGTAACAACAGAAGAACCCTTTTGGTACTAGGTTCTTTATAGAACCATCTAGAACGCATTCTCTGTCAATCTGAAGAACCGTTTCAGCATGCAAAGAACCCTTTGATCATGCAAAGGCTTCTTTGAGTGTTCAATGGTTCTTTAGAAAAAGAAAATGGTTCTATTTAGAACCATGAACACTCAAAGAACCCATTGCATGATCAAAGGGTTCTTCAGATTGAGACAGAATATGTTATAGATGGTTTTATATAGAAATCTTTTGAAAAAGGTTCTAACATAGCACCAAAAAGGGTTCTGCTATTGTTCCATGCTTGACATGGTAACAACAGAAGAACGATTTTGGTGCTAGGTTCTTTATAGAACCATCTAGAACGCATTCTCTGTCAATCTGAAGAACTTTTTCAGCATGCAAAGAACCCTTTGATCATGCAAAGGCTTTTTTGACCGTTCATGGTTCTATACAGAACCATGTTTTACTAAAGAACCCTCTGTTTTAAGAGTGTAGTGTAAAGCTTTCTCAGAAGAGTAGAGGCTGTTACTGTTACAGCAGATAAAGAGGGACAAATTCTCTATTAATAATTGATTTTAGGGGAAAAGTCAGATAAACAGGAGCCCCAATCCCAGAACTCTGATCATACAGAGACTATATTATGAACTGAAGCACCTTTATAGCCACAGTACTCAGTTATACAGCTAAATAAGTGTAACCTTGAACATATAAGGTGAGAAATCCTTAATAATCAGCAGTAAAAGCTGATTTAGTCCCACAGAAAGTCAGCAGCGCTGGTCTGAAGTACTGAGTTAAGGGTCTCATACCTCGCTTCTTCGGCACAAGCGCAGAGCTGGAGCATCGCTGGGAGGAAAGCAGTCTGAGGCGCCGTGAAGCGACATGGCAGGTGGAAACAGCACGTGTGGACGGAGGATCAGGAGTTCAAAGGAGAGATGAAAGAGCTGGAACTGTGGAATCACGACGTTTTGATCACCGGAGCTAAATGCATCTTTTGTCTAAAAGCAGCTTTGCCCGGCAAGGTTGACCAGTGCACTGCATTCTCCGGGTTTACCGTTATTGTACCCATCACTCACTTTCTTTTAAGTCACGTGGTGCACTTGTAGAGCGTTGCAGTTTCTTTCGGCGGCCGCGAGTTGGCGCTGCTGGAGATGCGCTAAGAGGAAGGCTCGTCTGACGCAACTGCTGCGCTCAAGAAGTCATTCCAAGAATAAATGAGTGATTTCTGCTCGTTTCCTTTCGACGAATGAAACGTGAACAAGAAACAGCCAGTTTTGGGTCGATGATGTTGCAGCTTTACCAAGGATTTCGGTTTCAGTGTTTATTTAAATAAATATATACAAACTGTTTAAAAATAAGGTTCCTTAGGAAAGATATTGGTTCCATAGAACCATGAGCACTCATGATAGAAACATTTGCCTGCTATAAAAAGGTTCTATGCATGGTGAAATGGTTCTTCAGATATATGCTTGTAAATGGAACCTTTCTGAAAATGGTTCTATATAACACCAAAAATGGTTCTGTTGTTGTTGTGATGTCAAGCTGATAGCAGCAGAACCTCCTTATGCTTGACATGCAAATGGTTCTTTGAGTGCTGCATAGAACCATTGCCTTTACCAAAGAACCCCCGAGGAACCATCCTTTTAAAGAGTATATATAAATATGAATAAATACATAGATAAGCATTTAACTCTTTAATAGGCCTATATTATATGTTTTAATAATAGTATATAATAGTATATATTTCTTATTTGTGATTAAAATCAATGGACTATTTATTTGAATGTTCACCGCGTTTATTAATTCAATAAAGTCTCAACTGTGCGTTAATTAAATTCGTTATAAGTATACATGTATAGTTTCGAAATTTAAATTGTAAGCTTGTTATATATATCAATTCTATTCATGATTCAGGGATTAAACCCTTAAATGTCTGTTATACTACATACCCTAACATTCACATTTTCATAGTATATTAAGTCCAGCAAACCAAAGAAATAAAGTTTAGCACACAAATACAGTTTTAATGTGTTGAGCTTGGATTAAATAAACTACACCTCTGGGAATCTGAAATAACAGCACTGCAAGATGCAAAGGCAACTCCAGAGCTTCTGCTCCTTCTCGTGTGAACTCACGATGCGCCCACAAAGAATTTACAAAGAAGTGACTGATAAGAAAACTTTTCCACAGCCCACTCAGTCCCTCAGTTAGACTCTTGAAATGCTGTGTCTTGTTGAGTTGCTTTGCTGGGTTGAAAAGAGTCCATAAGCACACAATAATAAGCCTTGAAGACCTGGAATGATTCTGCAAGGAATAAAGCAAATATATAACCCTTAATAATTATATGCATAGGCCTGTCACTGCACCTCTGAGTCATCATCATGATGATCTCCATGGACAATCCACACATCATCCACACCTCAAACAGACTCACTCTGACCTTACTGCACCTTCAATCTAGCAAATCTATACCTGCATAGATCAGGCATAACTTTATGACCACCTCCTTGTTTCTACGCTCATTGTCCATTTTATCAGCTCCACTTACTATATAGGTGCACTTTGTAGTTCTACAGTTACAGACTGTAGTCCATCTGTTTCTCTGATACTTTCTTAGACCCCCATGGACCCTTACAGAGCAGGTACTATTTGGGTGGTGGATCATTCTCAGCACTGCAGTAACACTGACGTGGTGGTGGTGTGTTAGTGTGTGTTGCGCTGGTCTGAGTGGATCAGACACAGCAGTGCTGCTGGAGTTTTTAAACACCTCAGTGTCGCTGCTGGACTGAAAATAGTCCACCAACCAAAAATATCCAGCCAACAGCGTCCTGTGGGCAGCGTCCTGTGACCACTGATGAAGGACTAGAGGATGACCAACACAAACTGTGCAGCAGCAGATGAGCTATCGTCTCTGACTTTACATCTACAGGGTGGACCGACAAGGTAGGAGTGTCTAATAGAGTGGACAGTGAGTGGACACAGTGTTTAAAAACTCCAGCAGCACTGCTGTGCCTGATCCACTCATACCAGCGCAACACACACTAACACACCACCACCACGTCAGTGTTACTGCAGTGCTGAGAATGATCCACCACCCAAATAGTACCTGCTCTGTAAGGGTCCATGGGGGTCTAAGAAAGTATCAGAGAAACAGATGGACTACAGTCTGTAACTGTAGAACTACAAAGTGCACCTATATAGTAAGTGGAGCTGATAAAATGGACAATGAGTGTAGAAACAAGGAGGTGGTCATGATGTTATGCCTTTGTATTTAAATTCTACATAGGGGGCTACACACCTAAGATTTTCACTCACCTTGCACCTGTGTAAATGTGATGAGACAATAAACATGATTTGATTTGCACGCTTGATAAATATGACCAAAAAACAAGAGAGAGAAAGTGGAAAAAGTGAATAGGTGATCAGTGAGTCATTTTGTCTGGATTTGAATGGCACTTTGGGTTACTTTCTTCTTGTAAGATCCAACTACACACCCTACAGGATGTTCACTCATTTACAGAAAGGACTCTTTAAGACAGTCATCCTCTGAAAGGTTCTTTAGGGAACCAAAAGCGCTTCTTCTATGGCACTGTTATACAGATCTCCTCTGGGGGCTTTTATATTTAGTGCACAGCCCAGAATTAATTACTCCACAACGTTGTGTATCCTAACAAGATTTCCAAATCCCAACAAACCCATGGGCCAGAGAACGTCTATGTTTTTATTTCATTTCTAATTAACATTTTGGTATAAACCCAACTGATCATTGTTTATTCGAAATACACAAAAACTTCAGCAGTAAAGTACAGACACTCGTAGACCTTAAAATATTACATAAATACTTGAAATATTCAAAACATAAACGTTCTCAGGAGCTCAGTCTTTTAAACCGGCCTATTTATTTGAACTAGAATCCTGACATCCTTTCTTTGATGCTCATTAAGACTAGGGCTCAGTTTCTGAGCAGCTGAGCTGACGTTAAGCGTTAATGTTGGTTTTGACTGCAGCTGAAATGCAGTTAGTGCATTTGGTGATGTAATTGGTGTGGATTTGTGTAGAATTGTGTAGAACTGAGGTGTAACCGCTGTCCCATTGATTGTTTTTGGGTCAGAGCACACATTACATTGCAGTGCATGCCGGGGACTGTAATGCAGAGCACTGTGAAATGAGCAAATTAATAGAGAATTAATAGAAAATTAAAATACTTTTGCAGGCCGGATAGGATTGTGTCGCGGGCCTGATCTGGCCCACGGGCCTTGTGTTTGACACATGGGTCATAGATCAACCACTATACTTCATACTTTTACACCAAACCTGATGTTTGTTGCCAAAAAACTCTTGTTTGTTTCATCTGAACATAGAAACCAGCCCCAAAGAAAGCAGAGGCTTTCTTCCGGCAAGCCTTCTAAACAGTTGGCTAGAGGTGGTATCTCATAGTTTTGGGTTGAGGCACCTTAATTCCAGTGAAAGGAAACAGTACTGTTTCATCATACAGTGAAGTTCTAGAGAATTTTGTGCTTGCAAATCTGTCACTAGTTTGGGGAAAGCCCTTTCATGTTTTAGCCTGACAGTGCTTCCGTGCTCAGTTTTAGTGTGGAAGAGTCACAGAGTGTGAGAGTCCCGACTAATGATGCACCCTTGTTGCCCAACATCAGTGCTTGACCTAGTAATGCTATCGAGGCTGAATGGATGAAAATCCTTGCAGCTGTGTTATAAAGTCTAGTTCAAAGCTTTTCAGAAAAGTAGAGGCTGTTATAGCAGCATAAGGGGGACCAACTCCATATCAATGTACACAGTTTTGGAATAAGACATTAAACAAGCACATATGAATGTTTTGTTTGAGTGTCCACATACTTTTGGCCATGCAGCGGGTCAGATGCTGTTCATAAGATCTTCTAGGGGTGACCGTAATTGACACCTTTAGATTTTTATATACAACCCTTTATATAATTGAATAATTTTACTATAGAGAAAGATCAGATTTCTCAATGTAAAAGATCAAAGACATTTTTAAATAGCCTTTTTTTATCCAGGGGTACCACTTCTAGAGGGTACCGCACTTCTGTTAACATGACTTTACCATTGATGGCGATGATGTAGAACTGATGGACAGCTTTGGCCTATCCAGATACATTAATAACACCAAAGGATCCAACACTCAAGAAAGACAACGCAGATTGGTACTCGGGAGAAAAAGATCGAGGGAGCTTGAAAAGATCCTTAAATGCAACAATTTGTCTCTACGACAAGATCAGAATTGTCCAGGCTATGGTCTTCTGGTCTTCTCTGTGGTTCTTTTTGGATGTGAAAGCTGGACAATGAACAAGTGAGACAGGAAAACTACTGGTGCCTTTCAACGTTTGTGTTGGTAAAGTGTATCGAGAGTTTCTTAGACAGCAAACAAACAAATGGACCTTCAACCAGATTAAGCCTTACATCTCACTCAATACTCAGATCATCAAGCTGAAGTTCTCTAATTTTGGAAATATTGGCTACGTTCACACAGCAGGGAAAAGTGGCCCAAATCTGATCTTTTTTTTCACAGATGTGTATCTGTGTGTCAGTGTGAACAGATAAACACACTGAATCTGACATTTTCAATTCCGATTTGAGACACTTTCATATGTGGTACTGAAATCCGATACATATCCGATCAGGGGCAATGCGACTCAGTCTGAACAGCCAGATCGGAATTAATGCGTCTTTTACGTCAATCCAACTCGACATTCATCATAATTTCGCGCTGCTGAGACCTGAAAAACATCTGGGCTGATATTTCTGTACTAAAATTGTTACAGACTCATCAAAACCCTCCGTGTTTGAAGAGATTTCTAAAGAAATGTCTGAACGCGGCCGCAGGAGAACGAGGCTGCAGCGTCAAAGAACAGTTAAAAGTCTGAAAGCAAAGTTTAAAGAATCCGAGGACGCGAACCAAAGAAGTGACCGCGCCCTTTTTACGGCTGGAACACATTCTGGGTGATGAGCCCAGCTGTCAGTCAGTGAAGCTTCATGATGCTCCTGTGATGCTGGTGAAGATGAAGCTGATCCTCCGG